TCTCAGGTCCCCCTGGAGAAAATTTTAAGTGCATGGATGGGAACTTTCTCTGTTTGGGGTTCCCATAACTCTTTCCAAGCCTGAAATTGATTATCATCATCACCATCATAACCGTCACCATCATCACCATCACTAGCATCTTTGCCACGATCATCATCACCATCACCATCATTGCCATCAGCATCATCTTCACCATCATCATCCTCATCATCACCATCACCATCATCATCACTGTCATTATCACCATCATAACCATTACCATTATCACCATCACTAGCCTCTTTGCCACTACCATCATCACCATCACCATCACTATTACCATCATCACTATCACCATCATTTTCACCATCATCACCATCACCATCATCAACACCATCACCATTATCATTATCATCATCATCATCACCATCACCATCATTGCCATCAGCATCATCTTCACCATCATCATCCTCATCACCATCACCACCATCACCATCATCATTATCACTGTCATAACCATCTTTATCACCATCATAACCATTACCATCATCAGCATCACTAGCCTCTTTGCCACTACCATCATCACCATCACCGTTACTATTACCATCATCACCATCACCATCATCAACAGCATCACCATTATCATTATCATCATCATCATCGCCATCACCATCATCACCATCACTAACTTCTTTGCCACTACCATCATCACCATCACCATCATCTTCACCATCGTCGTCCTCATCATCATCATCACCATCACCACCATCACCACCATTATCATTATCACCATGATTATCACCATCATCACCATCATTGCCATCAGCATCATCTTCACCATCATCCTCATCATCACCATCACCACCATCACCATCATCATTATCACCATCATAACCATTATCACCATCATAACCATTACCATCATCAGCATCACTAGCCTCTTTGCCACTACCATCATCACCATCACCATCACTATTACCATCATCACTATCACCATCATTTTCACCATCATCAACACCATCACCATCATTATCTCATCGTCATCTTCATCATCGCCATCACCATCAGCACCATCGTCATTATCACCATCACCACCATCACCATCACTAACTTCTTTACCACTACCATCATCACCATCATCCAAACCCTCTGTGTAAAAATGAATGAGAAAAATCACGACTCCCCCATGACACCCGTTGGCAGAGAAACCCACACAGAATCAGACTCAAACACGCTATTTCTCCCTGTCTCTCTCTCTCTCTGATCCTCTCTCCCTACCTCCTTCTCTCTGTCTCTTTTCTCTTTCTCTCCCAGTCTCTCTCCCTTTCTGTCTGAGTCTCTTTCTCTCCTTCTGTCTCTCTTTGTCCCTGTTTCCCTCCCTCCTTCCCTCCATCTCTCTCTCCCTCGCTGTCTCTCTCTCTCTCTCCCATTCTGTGTCTCTGAGACTCTTTCTCTCCCTCTTTTTCTCCTTTGCTTTCTGTCTCTCTTTCTGTGTCTCCTTCTCTCCATCTCTCCGTCTCTCGCTGTCCCTGTCTCTACCTCCCTTCTTTCCATTTCTCTCCCTCTCTGTCTCTGCATCCCTGTCTCTGCCTCCCTCCTTCTCTCCATCTCTCTCTCTGCCTCTACCTCCTTCTCTCCATCTCTCTCTCTCTCCCTGTCTCTCTCTCTGTCCCTGTCTCTCCCTCCCTCCTCTCCATCTCTCTCTCCCTCTGTCTCTCTTTCTGTCCCTGTCTGTCCTTCCCTCCTTCTCTCCATCTGTCTCTCCCTCTCCATCTCTCTCTGTCCCTGTCTCTCCCTCCTTCCTTTTCTCCACCTCTCTCTCCCTCTCTGTCTCTGTGTCCCTGTCTGTCCCTCCCTCCTTCTGTCTCTCTCTCTCTGTCCCTCTCTGTCTCTCTCTCTCTGTCCCTGTCTCTCCCTCACTCTCTTTTCCCTTGCTCTCACCTCTCTTCCCTTCTCTGTCTCTTGACAAAAACTCTTTCCTTTGACTGAAACCTAAGCCAGGCCTCTCTGAGTCCCCTGCCCGACGAGGCCGGACCTTGGGCTTCCCTCCACGCCCTTGTAGAATCACTTCTGAGCAAGAATCCTGCTCCACCAGTGGGGTGAAAGTCCCCCACCCTTGAGGCCTGACGGTCCTGATCACCCTGGCTGGCGGTCCGCAGTGATCCAATCAAGTCAGTGTAGCCAGAAACTGCTTCTCCTAGGAATTTCCTCTGAGTAATCCACGGCCCCTACC